GTTTGTTTGTCCGCGAGTTAATCAGTCATTTGTGGACCGATCTTCTTGCAATCGGTCTCTAAATTTTCCAAACGGAGATGGCTGCTATGTGGGTTTTTGAAAGTTTTGCCCACCAACGCATCCACCCACGCATTCACACTGTCTGTCTGTCTGACCGCGAGTTACTTAGTCATTTGTGGACCGATCTTTTGCTCACCCACGCACTCACTCACGCATTCACACTGTTTGTTTGTTTGTTGACTGAGTTTTTAAATCTGTGACACCCTCTGGAATGCCAGTTCATCGACTCAAAATAAAAATGTTACAAAAAGTGCTACAATTATTCTATTAAGGAATTTTAATACCAAGAAAGGACTATGCAATGGCACAGGATTCATTGTTATTGATCAAAAATCTAATCTGATTCATGCTTTTACTAGCTTTTGAGCCCGCGCGAAGCGCGGGCTCAAAAGTTAGTTTATTTATAAAGTAGTAGTATGAAAGCATGTCTTCTTTTTTAACATGTTTGTATGTAAGACAGAAATAAAACAAACACTGTCGTAATAAGAAGTAAAATATATATTAAAGAATATTTTAGTGATAACTTACATAAAGTTACCGTCGTGTTCAAGAGAAATTTAGATTTTTTTTCGATAAAATAATCCGTGAAATCAACTAGGAAGCGATAACACATAAGTGGAAATATGGCAACGTTACACATAAAACAAACTATTTCCAATGATTATTAAGTAGAAATCTAATTAGTTAAATACTAAAGTTTATAAAGTTTATAAAGGATTAACTTATACACTTCCAACTCAAGTAAATTTAAATAGATTATTTATTAAATAAAATAACGATTACATCTTAGGTTCATATCTGCTTTTTATATGTTGGTATTTATATTAAATGAATCTTAGAACTTTTATTTTACTATTTTTAAAATGTTTAACAACTTTTAAAATAATAAATGATTACGTATTATGACATTTACGAATACAATCGTAATAATATTATTGCGAAATTAGTTGTTAGCTATTAAATACAATTTTATTAATAACATGTTTATTGATTAGAAAGTAGCGCACGAACCTCACTTATTACTACAGTTGACTAACTAGTTTGCAAAAATTCCGCGCGCTCAGATATGGTACATTATAAAAGTGCCGCTTCTCCAAGTAACTTTCAGAATTATGTCAATTTTTAGAAACTGAATTAATGTATATTATAAGAAAAAAGTTTAAATCAATTAGATGAGAAATAGATAATTCGAATATGTTGACTAAATGACGAAAGAAAAGAACATAAAGGTAAATAAATATTTTATGATATTAATAATTATAATATGGATATCACGTGTATAGATCATGGCAAGTAATTTGGCTTTATAATTTCGTAACCTGGCACCAAGTAAAAACATCAAGATATTGGTTACATTAGCGTGAAACGTTTGTGAGATAAACTGGAATACCATTTTGAATTCTGATTTTGTTCTGCAGGTTTTGGGTAAAGGCAGTTTCGGTAAAGTATTGCTGGCAGAGTTACGCGGCACTGAATGCTTGTACGCCGTAAAATGTTTGAAAAAAGACGTCGTTCTCGAGGATGACGATGTCGAGTGCACATTAATCGAGAGGAAAGTCCTCACGTTGGCGACAAGGCATCCGTATCTTTGTCACCTGTTTTGCACCTTCCAAACCGACTCACATCTCTTCTTTGTTATGGAATACCTGAATGGGGGTGATCTAATGTTCCACATACAGAAATCTGGCCGATTCCCCGAGACACGAGCGCGTTTTTACGCCGCTGAGATTTGGTCTGGATTGAACTTCCTGCACAAGAAGGGTATCGTCTACCGAGACCTCAAACTTGACAATGTATTACTCGACTTTGAAGGCCACATTAGAATCGCGGACTTCGGCATGTGTAAACTTCAGATCTTCTTGGATAGAACGGCCGACACATTCTGCGGTACGCCAGATTATATGGCACCAGAGGTATCGGTTTTTTTTCAAAGTTATTTCTATTTTTTTTCGTTTACGCTTAGTATTCATTATTTAATAGACGAAATTATTTAATAACTCATGTTTGCAGATAATAAAAGGACTTAAGTACAATCAGGCTGTAGATTGGTGGTCGTATGGCGTTCTGCTGTATGAGATGTTAACTGGTCAATCGCCGTTTTCTGGATGTGACGAGGACGAGTTGTTTTGGAGTATTTGCAACGAACGGCCGTTCATACCTCGATATCTGAGTCAAGAGGCTACTGATATACTCATCTGTTTGTTGGAGAAGGATTCTGGGAAGCGGCTACCTGCTCACGAAATAGCTGTGCATGCTTTCTTTCAGGTATAATTTGTTACCATTTTTTTAGACGGTAGAAAAATACATGGGTGATTTAGCAGTGAAATAGCATTTCGATTCAACAGCATTTGCCTTGGGATCGATTGGAGAGAAGACAATTGGAACCACCGTTTAAGCCTGCGCTTGACCACACCTTAGACACGAAGTACTTCGACACAGCATTCACAACTGAACGTCCGAGGCTTACGCCAGTGCCTGAGCAGATTTTGACTTCGATGGATCAAGGTGTTTTTCGCGGATTCTCTTATACCAATCCAAATGCGACCGATTGATATGTGACAACTGAATGAACGTGTAATGTTTCTGACGGAACAGTATCCGTCGTTTCTAACGTTTTTGTGCCATATAATACAGAAGAGAACGTATCTTGTTGGCTTGTATAAAAGTAATTATTGTTTTATATATTTAAAACGAGCGACGTTACTATACAAAGTCAACATAATACGCATAAATCACATCTTAAGAATACTCGTATGAACTACAAAGTAGAAATTGCACGCGATATGTAATGTTTCTTGCCTCAACATGTAATGAGATGTAATATTACGTTCTAGGAAATGTGTAAACACACACACACACATATATTCACAAACAAAATTTTCTATATTATATACAGGGTGTCCCGAAATTCGTGAATTAAAATAGCATAGCAACAAAGTTGTCGAAAAAGTAAATTAAGAAAGTATTGTCATTTTTCGTTTCAAGCAGTATTTTTTAAATAAATAAGTTTAATTGAATTACTTAATCTAAAAAATACCGCTCAAAGCGAAAACTGGCAAATGCTTTCTTAATTTATTTTTTCGATAACGTTCTTGCTATGGTATTTTGATTCACGAATTTCTGGACACCCAGTATATGTGTGCATATACAGGGTGAGTCACAACATTTCTGCCAGAACTCGTGAGAAGATAGAACGGATCGAGATGAACAGAAAAGTCCTGTACCATTTGCAATTTTCGCAATAGTTAACGAGTAATTAATTATCAAAAATCGTCGTCTTTGCCCTGCCCACTGTCCAATTCGAGCGCGTGGCGAGATGTGACCACCCGGCGATCGATATTGCCAGGCGAGGG